TATTACAGAAATTTGTTTCATTTTTATCCTGTAATCTACATAAGGGAAATCTGTTTATTCCTTGTCTGACAGCCCCCCTTGCTGTCTCATGTCACAGTTTTTGTGTTCTTTGTCATACTTAAGTGAAATAAAATATTTCAATCTGTTAACTTTTTTGTGATGTTGTTTCCTTAAACGAGTTCTATGACATTCTTGTCGCCAAGATGTTCATAATGAGATGCGAATTTTGCAGTCGTCTTTCTCTGCTCACTTTGAACTAGCAAGGATCATGTTGATGGCTGATTTTATGGTTAATTAAGGTGAACGGGAACGATTTTTTTTTCACTGCTCTATGTTATATGCTTCTAACCTTCAAGTCTGAATGTTTTTCGCTGTTAAAACGCTGTAATAGTTTTTTGTACTTTCTTGGGTTGGGTGAGACTGAGTCCATTTTGTACGTCTGATTAATTGGTTTATTATACCAGCCCCGGATGGTAGATGATAAGTGAGGAGCAGTCGGTGGAATGAGAATTTGTAAGGGAACCGAAGTACTCGGAGAAAACCCGCCCCAATGCCACTTTGTCCACCACAAACCCCATATGACTTTTCCTGGGCTCGAAACCGGGCCGCCGACAACTAACCTCCTGAGTTATTACACGGCCTTGAACTCTGTAACAACGCTTGGTCACCTTATAGACAATGTTGTGGTGCGTTTCCTCCACTCGGCATTTCCTACGAATTTTAATTTGCAGTTGGTCTGCTGTATCATTTGGCAATATGGCGCACACTTGCTTCTTACTGCTGTATCAGGCTGTCTGTCTCAGGTGTTCCCACATGTGGAAGTATCCGCTGTACGTGTAACTTTCAAATTGTGATTTAGCACCACGTCACGAAGGCAGATAAGAGGCGTACAAGCGAAGCCAAGAAACATTCTTAACCTCAGCACTTTGTGGAGATGAGTGACCATTTACGCTTTCTGATTGCATCACCCCAGAAATCGCTGAAGCGACGAAAAACTTGACCCTACCAGCACAATCCTCAGATGTGTATTATTTTAATATTCATCTGCTACATTTTACACACATCCCCAATTAACCGATTAATTATGTTTCAAACTAAATTCATTATTTATCCTGAGAATAAATTCAAGTGCATTGTCTGAGTGAAATTCCGAATTATTGAGCTTTCAGCAGGATATCTACGAGTATATAGTCACGACTGTTCTCTTTTTTCTTTAATGCTAGTAGGGTGAGGCTAAGTCTCTTGCAGGCCGCGCCATAACTCAAGCGGTTAGTCGCTGGCTTCCCACTTGACCAGACCGGGATCGAACCTACGACTCTTCTTTCTATAATAAATTTATGAATCAGAAATTGATGTCTTTCTTTGTATGCAAATGTAAGTGATAATTTTGAAAATCATAACTCAGAAACTGCTAATTTTGGAGTTCTGAAAGTAATGATTTATCGCAACAGTTTATTTTGAAACAAGAAGCCCATTGGAATCATGTTTATGAACAAGATACATCGTTCCTCATTGGGATAGTTAATAAAGCGTTAGGTAAGCTTCGATCTCCCACCCCATTTACTAAAAAGACAGCACAAATAACTCGAAAATCCTCTGAGGCAACTTATGGCGTTATGCGAAGTATACTAAATCCTACAACTAACTTATCTCCCTCAATCTGCATCCAACCCCCCCTTTTCACCCCTCTGTACCATCAGGGTGAGTTTAAAACGCAAAATGAAATGAATGCAATGAGACGCAGACTGATTAAACTGCCGAGGCTCGGGTCTCGGAGTCATCAATCAACGCTGGCTCTCAGCTCCGCGGCAGAGGCCGTGCTTCTGCATACGTTGAGATCTGCCACTGTCCAAACAGGGCCTCCGCATCGCAATTACTCTGCAGCCCCGCTAGGTAAGAAACAGCTGTCGTCGCATACGGGGTGAGGTTCTCACAGCGCTGGTTATGAAGTGCTGTAACTCTACGTGGTTACGTTGAGGAGGAACACGATATTACCATCTTCAGGGTCGAAGAATAAACCGAGCAGGAAATCAGTATAAAACAGGTATCAAGTTGAGCTGAAGAATGAGGCGACACATTTCTTCCGAAACGTCGGTTGATTTTCAACGGACTACAGACTTTTATATCCTAGAACATAGAGCTCTACACAGTTACCATTGCTCTGTATTTTCTTTCTGTGTGTCTAAATTGATTAACTCCATGTAGAAGCTAATAACGCTCTGCTAGTCGCCTTGTCATTTTTTTGGGCCCTGCAGCCCCAATTTGGGCCTAGGCCTACCTCCATGAACTTCTCCGTTCACTTCGGTTTTTCTAGATCTTACACATTCGGTAGAACTTCTTGGGCGGGTGATCAGTTCGTCGCAAGGCCTCTACCTATATACAAACACAGAAAAACACAAACACTAAACCTCCATGCTTTGATTGGGATTCGAACTCACGATCTCGGCTTCCGAGAGAACGAAGACAGTAGCCTTAGACCGCTCGGCTACCGTGACCGGCCAGCCCTTGTCATATGAGCAGCTGCAATTATATTAATTCTTTGAAATTTAGAAATACTTTTCAACTCTGCAAATTTTTATTCACGTAAAGTATGTTCAGGAAATGTACAATTACTTTCTCTGCACGGGTCAGTAATAGAATGAGTAATGAATTGAAAATTGAGCGGAAGGAAGCCTCAGTGCTATATTGTAAGGCCTTTTGCAGCATTTATTTGAACTAGCTGTGAAGAAAGACACGAAGAACATTGCTCACCCTAGTCGTCGGAGAGCTCGAGACTCGAACGCAGGACCTTCCTGTTGCTAACCGTTTTACCGTGACGGTCAGTCAATTAATAGTTAATCAACATGGAGAAAATCGATGTAATCATCATCATCTTCAGGGCAGGCTTTTGTTAGCCTCTTCCGTCTCAAAGACTTTCCTCCCTCTTCTTGCCCGTCCTCTAACATTGCTCCTTCCGTCTTGTTAATAGTGCTTAGTTTTATGAGCCAGTTTTGAAGACTCCACTCTTAAGATGTGATTATGTCATTCGTTTTTAGCCCACTTTCCTAAAGTTGGCTTATATGATTTCCATGCTGTCTGAGTGTCTGTGAATCCGCCCCTGTGGACTTTTGTATGCCTGAAACAATCTATATGAAAATTTGTATGTACACCATGACACCTGAGCCCATCTGAACAGCGTTCTTCATAAATCCCTCCCATCAGTCTATGTTTCTATATATATACCCTTATCGTTCCTAGGCAACAGCTCGGTAAAAACGTTACCATGGCATCGAATACACGCGCAACAATAGAAGAATTATTCGACGCATCTTTTTCTATCCGGCTCATTTCGTAGCAAGGAAAGTAGGTGAAAAGTTCTTCCCAGAATTTTTAGATGTAGTCTTGGATTCTTTATTTTAAGAGTATTGTTGTGTTTAAGCATCCTGTTGCATCAATATAGAAATTATTCAACACAATATATATTTCCGTTACTAATTCAACAAAAGGGTATAGTCAATTCAATTCATTATTCACGACATGTTTCGGCCATGCAGTACAGTACAACAGTTTAGCACAGCGACAGACACCCGACGATGGCCATGTATAGCCGAAACATATCGTGAATAAAGAATTGAAGTACTATAACCTTTTGTTGAATTAGTGACGGAAATATTTATTGTTTGAAATAACTGATCTAGAGCGTACTGTTACGGATGTGATGTAATATGAAATTCGGTTAGAAAATGTGAGAAACACAACTGAATTCTGCTCTCCTTTGAGGGCTATCTGATATTGTGTGATGTCGAACCCAGGCCTATAACGCATGAGTCACCCTGTCACAGTTATAAATCGTGTCTCTAAAACATTTGCATTGGGGAGGGGAGAGGTTTATATACTAGGATTCTTGTTGGCTAATTATCCTGTAGAAAACGATAAATCACAGTTGTGCCCTATCAACTGTTAACTCAGCCAGCCAGCTAGACAACCCTGTGATCTGACAGCGTACAAGGGAAGCTGAGGAAAGTAATGGACTTAGACCTCGCGCCCTTCCTACTTACAAAGTGTCAGGGCAACGAATAGAATAATTATATTGACTTTCAGTCATTGTCTTCTCCAGCCACGAGTAGAAATGAAGAAATTCATGACGTGAACAGCAAATGATTGTTCCACCCACGTCACAGGTGCACAGATTGTTCACGTTTGTAATTACAGGTGTATAGACGTGATTGAACTTTGTGAGAATTTCCATTAGTCATTCTCTGTCAATAGAACCGATTGTTAAGTTAAATATGGCTGTTAAAACATCATGTGACTACATTCTCCGGCTACGTACTCAATTTTTTAAATATATTAACTCTTTCAACATTAAATTATTATACACAAAAAAACTCCGTGGTCTTAGTCCGCAAGCAAACTATACCGACAGAGGGACCTCATCGAGAATCGAACCCTCGACCTTCCGGCTTGAAGCATAGTGCCTCACTCAACTACGCAACCGCCTACCCCTGCGCTCATTTTATAGGATTTTTATCAAATGAAAATGCAGCTCCAAAATTAATGTCTAACCTAATTAATTTTCGGTATTAATATTTATTCCACATCAGATATCGTCATGGCTTTTATCAACTGGTATATGGCAGTAGAATTTGCTTCTTTACAGTAATTATGTCTCCATGATGCAAGTAGAATTACGATACGACATTTTATTTATACAGGATATGAAGATTATACCAAGTAATTCGGTAGTGGAATTTTCTCCACATCGAGGTGTGAATGTTATACTTCCATAACTCGGTAACCGGTCCCTCGTTTGTGAGAACGTGAAGCGCAAAATGAAGATGTGGTTGACTTACTGTTAATATTTGGTTTTGTTTAATTTGCTTGATGCTCTGACGATTTTTTTTGAGGGGGGAGCTTGAACAGTTTGGTTGGGTAGATTTTGAATCCATCAATCAATTAATGGCAATACGGGGAGCACTTGATCTGTTCAGTTGGAATTGATGAATTGTTGTTTGTTGCAGACCCTCCCCGGCTTGAAAAGTCGCCTCTGCTGGCGAACGGCTACAATCATCCACCCACGCACCTGAACCATATGCAGTTCATGCAACTGAACCATCACCCAGCTGCAGCGCACACCGCCATCTTGTCACCTGCGGGAATTCCCCACCATGGGCTGGCGCGCGCAGATGGCTCTATCATCAAGAATCAGGGTATTCCAGGAATGGATGCCATCGCAAGGTGAGTCATCTCCACCATATTTATTTATTATTCATCAACGCTGTCAGTAGCTCAGAATATATAGTGTCAAATGGCAGTATCACTGAACAATGCGTTAGAATAACGTGAAAAGAAGCGGTCGTGTTCTACATCAAGCAATTATCCGGGAATACAGCTGGAGGGATTGAGGAAAATCACGAAAATTATCATTCAAGATAATTCGTGTCACATAGATAATTCGAACCGGCCATCTCCCAAATACTCGTACATGCCATAAACCTTATCGACTGAGCAGTAAGCCTTCCCGACTTAATGATTTCATTGGTTGTTTATTGATCTTCAGTCAGGAAGTACTATGGTTCACAAAAACATTTGTCCTGGATTATTCTTAATTCGTAATATTCTTTACAAGTGCTTAAGCACCACACCGTGGAAGCGTATGGTGGCATGGAGATTAAATATTTTGATGAGTTCTTTAAGGATGCGTAAGTACTCTTCCATGAATGGGTCACGATTTAGGGGTGCGTGACTACAGAAGGGGTATGGATTGGTTCAATGAATTTATTGAACCCTTGAATTTATCGGATTTTCTCTCCGTTCATGTTCGTAGAAATAATTCCTGTTAACAAGTGAGTGTGACGGAGAGTTTCATGGAGGTAGGCCTAGGCCCAAATGAGGGCTGTAGCTCCAATGAAAAAAAAAGTACGTGTGAGATTTGATGGACCCAGAGTCGCTATGGAAGTGGTGACAAAGACGACATTTTAATCCTTTCTACAAAAAAACCAACCATGTTCACCGAACACCATAACCAGTTACGTTACTCACTTAGCTATAGTGATATTTTGTACATGCGTCAGTTCTGGAATTTATTGGTCTATGTCTTCTGAACACTGAACACGACATATGTTTCAGCAACGCTTTGACTACGTTAATTATATTACATATTTAGTAAAGTTAGAATTAAGTTATCGTCTTGCTTTCTTAAACCTCTTAGAAGTTTTAAACTTTTTAAAAAAGCAAGTTGCTTGTGAGATGACTAGCAACTAACATGAGTAAGTAAAGTGATGTGCAACAGGATGCTACGATATGATATTAAAAATGAAGATTTCGAAATCTTATAAGACATATATATATATCTTGACTGTATATATTTTATGTAACAAAATAAATATGAAAACGACGGTAATCCTTCTCTACTGTCCTTACAAGCTCTGCAAGGAGAAGGCTATAATTACTTGAATCTTGGACAATTATATCATCGCTTTATGCACTGCATGTGGAGGGAACCGGCTTTGGCCTCTTTCATGACACAGCCCCATCATGTTCTTTGGGCATTTAGTAAAACCAAGATGGATTGTCAGGATAGGCGATCTATGTCGCGATTCGAAACCAGGACCTTCTGAATGTGAAGCCGGAGTGTTAGACACTTCATCATTGTCTACTGTTATCACTTCTGACTGAGAGCACATTTATAAAGGTAAATCTAGTGACTTGAGAACGGAGTGAATTCATAGCCTGTCCTGGAACTGACTTCTTCTTGAGATGTCACTCGCTCAGCCACTCAAGAAGTTCCCAGCATTTTACGGAACCTGAAACTTCATTTTCATGTACAGAAGGACCCGCCAATAGTCCCTGTTCTGAGCAGATGAATCCAGGTCTCTAGGAACCTTCTTAATATTATCCACACACCTACATCAAGTTGTTTCTGGTGTCCTCTTTCCTTCAGGTTTTCGCACGAAAATCCTATCTCCATTCCTCTTCGCTTTCATACGTGCTATCTCATCCTCTTTTGCTTTTCATTGTAATTATATTTGGCGAAGGGTACACATTTTGAAGCTCCTCATTACGTATTTTTCTCCAGGCTCATATTGTTTCAATCCACTTAGGTCCAAATATTTTTCTCAATATCCTGTCCACAAATATTCTACATATTTATACCTGCCTTAATGTTAGAGACCAAGTTTCACACCCATTCTAAATTGAAGGGAGAGCTATAGTTTTGTGTATTTTAATTTTTTCTTTTTTAGACAACGGAGGAGAAGACAAGTGTTATAGAAAAGATTGCCAGGATTCGATTTGCTCTTAATTTCCTCTGAATTAGTCTGAATGACAACAATAGAAAAATAAGTTTACAGTAACTTCTTACAGAGACAAATTGCAAGGTGCGTGTAAATGGTGTTTAGGGGACTTAAGTGGAGGTTTCATGTTTTGTGGGGCAAAAGTCTCTGACCTTTGTTGGCACGATGTGAGGACATGTGATTAGTAAAAGGCCAGTCTCAAGCAAAACCTCTTCACCTTTCTATGGCTTTAATGCTATTTAATCGGATTACGACAACTCGGACGAAAGAAAATTCTTCTGGCCTCCATAAGAGAAAAGTCTTCATAAATTTTCACAGCTTAGTCTGTAAACTTGGAAAAATTATTGTCTCTCTGCACTTGTTTCTTCTTGATGTTTATGGCATATGTTAACAATATATAAAGAAATACATCTATATAAAATAAAATGTGGCAAATTAAGGCGTTTGACGTTCAACAGCGCCTGTTATTATCGAAGTGTACAGCGCCGATTATGGGGTGATGCACGAATATTGGTTTGCTGGAATGAGATTTGGCAGGGGAAATCAAAGCACTCGGAGAAAACCCTTCTAATTCCCACGTTGTCCACTATAAGTCTCACACGACGTGGCCTGTAATCGAACCCTGGTAACCGCTGTGGGAATCCGGAGCATGACAGCTTTAACTATGGCATTGCTCGTGGAGAACAATGAAGTGACGAAATAAGAGGCGAAACTTACATTGAAGTGTCTGTTAATGCGAGTTCGAAACTTCTATATAGAAGTGAAATTTCGGATTAAAAAAAAGCGTCAGTGAAGTGCATGGAAGAGAAATTAAAGGAGCACGAAACATACGAAAGGAAGAACACGTTTATGGTCTTCTAGTTCTTCTTTTCTTTGTCCTCCTGCCAAATCCTCTTTGTTGGTCATCCGGATACGGAGCGCCTCTGTGGTCTAGTGGTGAAAGTTCCTGGTTACAGATCCAGAGGTCCCGGGGCTACCAAATTTTATGAAAAGTCTGGAACGGGGTCCACTCAGCCTCGTGACGAAAATTGAGGAGCAATTTTAAGGAAACAGTGGCATCGGTCTAGAATTCGTTGCGCTGACAACGCGACACCCTCTGTCCGCTAAAGTTGGCACTAACTTCGCCGACAAGCGGCCGTCGCTCGGTCGGTATAGTTCGCTTGCGGACTAAAAGCATGGAGTTTTTTTTTATACAGATATACAGAGTTATTCCACTTTCAGAATTTGAAAGAGGTAAGACCTTTACCGAATGCCCAAGTAACAGCTCATAGCACCAATGGTACTGACGCAAAATCCTGAAACATCGGAATTTGTCGACAGGTTTCTGCATTCGGGAATTTAGTTGTAAATGTAAACAGTACGCAGAAATGTAGACAGCCGGAATTAGGAAAAGAAAATAATTGTAAAGAGAAGTGGAAGTGCGAAGGTCCAAAAGCGGAAGGCCAGATCAGTTTTGAAATTCGCAACTTTTGAAAGCTGCTGTATAGCACCAAATCCTTGAGCTCGGTACAGGGCCTATCCTGGAGCCCCCCACCCCTCCGCAATCTGCTTTGGAAGCATACAGCATGTGTTGGATAGGCTGTTCTGATGAATGGTCACGGCGTTCCAGAGCCTAAGAAGAACCTTTTGTGCGGAGAAACCCATCCATAATGCTCGTCTTTGTGGCAGATAGTGTGGGTGGGGGAGGGGAGTACCCTGATCTGCAGAGGAGCCGTGAGATTAGCGGCGAATTCGTAGTCATACATCATATACTGATGCTTCTTTCAAAAAGAGACGAAGAAATTTTAAGAAAATTTCATATTGCGAACACAATAGTGTTAGGCAGGCTGGGGGAAGAAGTTCTTTAGGAAATAAAAAAAGTAAATGTCTGCCTCCCTACATGTTGTTTTATGATAAGATTTGAAGAGATGTCGCCCCCACTAACTGATGACGTTTTAAATACTTTCTAACCGAAATTTTTGCCTACGCTTTTCTTTCCTTTCTTCCTTCCTTCCTTCCGTCGGTCTATCAAAACCCGGGATAGCTCAGTCAGTATACTGACGGTCCATGGACTAGGCGGCCGCCCTTCGATTCCTGGCAGGTGTAAGAAATATGTCTCTTCTCCACAGCCTCCACAGCGGCTGTTGGGCACACCCAGCTTTGTATCCAAAGGGCACAAGAGGCTCTTTACTCCGGTATAAAGCGGCCGGGACGCGAAGTTGACGGCTCACCCCCACCTAGTGCCGGGGGCAAGATTGGTGGAGATATATCTCCACTCCCCGATACTGCTTCATAGAGTGTTACTCTATTAATCCGGCACACGGTAAACCTCTGCGTTTTTCTTATTTTTCCTCTCTTCAGTATTTCTCTTTTTCTTCTTCTTCTTCCTTCAGATCCTCTCTCTGACAATAGATCAGAATGCATACTTTTCCTGAGTGACGGCTTAGTTTGGTAGTAAGTAAGCATACATGATCGAAATAATATATCAGTAGAATCTGCACTGTAAAATCCCGAAATAAGCCGTTGCTGTAAGTCTACATTCGGTTCGATGAGAACATCACGCATTCTTTGAAGAGTATGCCACAATAATGCATATACAGGAAGGTGCATCCTCTCTCTGAAAGCACGTGTATTTAAATTAAACTTGTGAAAGTTCTACTCCGCAAAGATGTTACGTGAATATTATACAGGGTATTTCCTATCTTTCTCTAACTTTGATTGAAGTACAATCGGATTTTATCAGTTTTCTCAGCAATGGTTCATTGTACAAAAATAAAATACTTAAAATAGGCGTGTAGAACTAATTTGTTTTTGTAAGATTTGAGGTTTCCACGGCGGTGACTATGAAGAAAGCAGTCTTCTGGGATGTGGCGCCATGAAGATGTGGTGTTAACCGACGTTTCGGAGGAACGTATCGCCTCCATCTTCAGGGTAGAAGGAAATATAAGAAATCCGCAAGCGAGGAGACCGTGAGAACCGGTACAAGTAGTCTGCTTGTTTATTATTCTTGATTCTACTGAGTGTGATGTCTTCAGTAGCGGGTTTATGTTTAACTGATATGAGCACTGGAACCAGTTAGACTTTCGAAACTGTAAAAATGGCGTTTGGAAATGGGCCGAATTTTACTTCACTGAAGTCCAGTTTTTCGTTCTTTTTTCGCTGGGTGCAAGCTACAGCCGATTCCGGGCTGTACAGTTCTGAATACTTCTGAGAGTGTGGTATTCTGGCTTACAACTCTCTGTAACTTGGGAAAAATCCGACGTTTCGGAGGAATTTTTTGCCTACCCTTATATTTTCGAAAACCAAACTTCGCAGTTGCCTCTGGCTTCTTGCTTTTATCTTACTTGGAATAATCTTCAACCCTAAAAGTAGTGGCCATATTTTCCTCCGAAACGTCTGATTTTAAAATTACTGTATAGCGTTATATCCCAGAAGATAAAATATCTTTAAAACATACGAAATTTGTGTGGTCCCCCAGAGGTATAACGTTCTTTCTGAATTTCATGAAAGTTGGTGATTTGTTTCCGGTATAGAAAACCGAGATTAACGGCCTTGGGGATCCGTTGCGCTGACCACGCTACACCCTCTATCCTCTAAAGTTGGCACCAACTTTGCCGACAAGCGCCGGTCGCTCGGTGGATATAGTTCGTTTGCGGACTATAAGCCACGGAGTTTGTTGGAAGTTGAACGGGATGCAGTAATATATACGGACAACTTGGTATTCTATAAGCCTTGATTTTATATCGAATACCAATTATATTTAATATCATCATCGTCGTCAGTATCACTGGACAAGGAAGATGCAGAGCAACCGGTAAATATATGGCCTAAATATATTCCTATGTCGAAGGGTTTGGGTTATTGAAATTTGGGTGGTTTAAGGGGGCAGATGTTTGGAGGGGGCAGTGTTTAACATCCCCAAGGAAAAAGCGAGCAGCAGCAGCAGGCAAGGAGGCGCAGGCAGTCACCTCGGTTGCTTCTGCTAGTGGATTAATCATTCAGTTTCTTTTCTCACGGATTCTGACATTTTACATACCGCCTACCCTCTCTTTCCTACTCATCCCTTTCCCATATAATCCTTCTTATGAAAGATTTGCATTTTAATTAAAAGCAAAGTGATGAAATGATAATCAACTAGCACGCGCGAGAAGGGCCTCTTTTTCTTTTTTACTCCTCACCCTCTACTCCGTCTGAAGGTTTCTCTTCTCGGATCTGGAGAGAACGGGTTGTGGTAGTTGGGGGTGCTCTTCTGTTCGGAATTAAAGCACATCAGGCTCCCGGATGGTACAGGTAGAGAGGTTCCATGTATGATCTATTGGCATCCTCTATCACGTTTCTATTCATTATACTGCAGAAGAGAAGAAATGCAGCAAAAATTCATACTATAAAATTAGTTTCTTATTTGGTGTTCCTTTTGACATGCAGGAGAAGTTTTCGGCCATTTCTGTAATGTGATCGTCTAGCTGAACTGTGTATCCCTTTGTAGATTTTCCTTACTCCTCTCTTTCTTGCAAACATTTAATCTATTTTCGAATATTGTGTAACATTTCGTAATATGCTGGTGTTTTCTCCTGCGAAGAGGGAATGTTAGAACTTAGAAGAATCCAAAAACACTATGACTACCCCTTGTCGTCTGTCCTCGGCTGCCTATGAAGTATATTCCAGCTGTCAGCAGCAGACTACACCGAAGCCGCCCACTCAGTCAGCAACCTCAAGATGCATGACGTCATGGCGAGAATTCGCTGACATATCCCAGAAGACTGCTTTCTTCATAGTCACCGCCGTGAAAGCCTCAAATCTTACATTGTAGACCTAAACAGTCAAATCAGCGCTGAGGGGGTTAAACATTGGCTTATAACCGCGCATGCGCTACTTTAGTACCCGGTGACTCTATGTGAGATTCGTGGTGAACGAAGTGGCACTACAGTACATTATTCTCAGAGTTTCTTCGGTTTTCCACAATGAATCGCCACTCCGCGGCTCCTCCATACATACTTATCACCACCGTCGTCAGATAACCCTGATCAAGAACCATACGTGTCTTGCTCGGCCTCGGACCCCACACTTCGCTGCTTAATGAGTGACGAAATTAAGTTTCTTTTTATAAGCCTACGTGTCCTTTACTGGGTACGCGGTAGCGTAGTTGGTTGAGGCATTATGTTACAAGCCGGAAGGTCGTGGGTTCGAGTACCGATGAGGTAGATTTTTTGTCAATTTACGTAATCTTTCCAACCGCACTTTGGCCCTGCTGTCGACTTAGCCTTTAACAGAAATGAGTACCCGGGATGGTCCTTGGAGGGTAAAGGGCGGCCGGTGGGTAAGGGTGACAACCTTACAGCGATCTGTCAGCCGATTGTCTAGAGAAAATATGGGAGCCTTGACGTCTCACAACCCTATGGGCCTTCGCGGCCTGTTAAAAGGATACTTTTACCTTTAACATATAATGTACTATAATTATGAATATTTAGTAAACTGTGTTCGATGGAAATATAGATTTGCGAGTTTGAGCATCGGAGAAAATTTATGGCTTACAAATTTAACTATTTTATGTGCACACTGTGTACAATCGATATATATTATCCCCAGTTTTCTTACATATTTTAAACCCATTGCACTTCACGTGTTGTAGGAACAAAGCATGTCTCGCATGGGGACTTGAGTAAACTGCCAGTCAAAACTTCTCCGACAATGTAACAGGCCTGTGATTACAAGTCTATTTATTTTGTTCTGACCCCCNTGGACGGGTGGTCAGCTCGTCGCTAGGCCTCTACCTGTACACAAACACAGAAAAATGCACACACACAAACTAAACATCCATGCCCCGAGTGGGATTTGAACCCACAATCCCGGTTTCCAGGCGAGCGAAGACAGTACATGCCTTAGACCGCTGGGCTACCATCACCGGCTATACTTTCTATTACTATGCAGCAAAATAAAATAGCAGAAAAATCGTTATAATCTCTCTCTTTGAGAGATACTATGTAAAATGTTTCCTTTGCAGCACCAACATCTTCCGTGATTGGTGTTCTTCATTCGTAATATTTCCGCAAGAAATTTTCTGCGGTGGAGACGTCGATTGGTCTTCTATTCATTGCATTTCTCGTTACATTTTGTCAAGCGAGATGGCAAGGTTGAAGGAGGGAAAGTAGAAAGGAAACGAATCAATCAAAATTCAGATCATCTCCTCATTTCGAATTTGTTCTTAGCAGCTGTAGGGTTTCTTTATCAAAAACCGCAATACCACACAACTTGTACGATTGGCAGTTTCTTGGGAAAGAGAAGGGGGAAAAAATGTAATCAAAAGCCAAGAAGATATTAACAGTATATTCTTATTACGTATATCTTCAAAGGATTTCATTTCCATTTCAAACTTAGCGTATTATAAAAATCAATGCTATATTTTAATTAACTAGGCTTTATTATAATATGAACGTAAATGGAGAGGACAAGAGACATAACCTCATTTTATATATATCGTGGTTGCTTTTACTTAACTGCACATTTTATGATGCGGTGTAGAACCTGACCAAAAAACAAGAGCTACGAAGTATCAATTGAATATCCTTAACGCTATTTAACTTAACAGTTCCAGTTTTTCTTGAATCTATAAAATGAATGTTATAATTTTGATCATTTCATTGTAACAAATTTTCATATGTTTTTGTATCGTCATAAAATGACAAGTTTTACATGCATATATATATTTCCATTACAGATCCGGTATTTGGGAAAATTGCCGTGCGGCATATGAAGACATCGTTAAGCATCTTGAAAGGTAAGAAACTGCACACACCTGGCAAATAAACAACTTGACTCTGTGAAGAGAAGCATGAGAGCAATAAGAGTTTTATACTCTCACTAATAGTGAGTGTGGTCTGATCGATTCTCCAAAAGTCGCGATTGAGCGGGCAGAATTTTGCTTGGTATCTTGGCCATCACAGGTTAAGGGCGGATATCCAAAGTGAGGTTTGTCAGGGCTTTTCCTTAGTCCGTCCAGTTAAATGCTAGAATAGTACTTCTAATTGGCAGTGACCTCTTCCATCCAGATCATTTCAAAAATATTATTCACTTCGCCTCTATATACGTAGTCTGGACCACTAATTGTGTCGTTAAGTAAACTGCAATAAATATGTATGTAAATAAAGTATATGCCTTTCAAAGCTTTTGTCGAAACAGGCAAACGCCGCTGAAAATCATTTTCCGGAAATCTTCTAATGTCACATTGCTTTGAATACCTTCAAATAATTCAAAATCAGACGTTTCCGGGATCATCAGTTTTTTGCTTTAGTGAGCATCAAAGCGTCACTTGGTGTATAAATATAGATTATTTTTTTATTGCTAGTGGGGTGGGATTAAGTCCCGTGTACTGCGGCTGCTTCTCTCTTATTGTACCCGCCCAAGATGATAGGTGAGGGTGATTATGGAGCAATTGGTGGAATGAAGATTGACATAGGAAACCAAAGTACTCGGAGAAAACCTGTCGAGCGCCACTTTGTCAACCACAAACCCCACTCAGCCAGATCAGGGATCGAACCCGGGCCTCAGAGATAGGAAGCCAGCGACTAACCGCTTGAGCTATGGCGCAGCATAAATATAGACTAAGTGTACATTGTATTTAGAAACTTACAACACCATATGGCGACACCATTACAAATTACAGCCACTTAGTGTCTTCCAACACAATCTGACAATTGTAGAGTTAACCATTTACTTCAAGGTCTGCACGCACAGAGAACTATTCGACGTTCAGTACAACAAAAACAAAACAAAATATGTGGCTTGAGTCCGCAGGTGAACTATACCGACCGAGTCACCGCCGCTTATCGGCGAAGTAAATGACAACTTTAGCTGATAGAGAGTGTTGCGCGGTCAGCGCGGTGGATCCCCAAGGACGTTAATTTTGATATTCTAGACCGGGGCCGCTGTTTCCTTAAAATAGCTCCTCAATTATCCTCACGAGGCTGAGTGGACCCCATTCCAGACCCACTAATTCTCAGAAAATCTGGTAACACCAGGAATCGAACCCGGAACTCAGGATCTGTAGCCAGGAACTCTGAGCACTACACCTCAGACACTTAACATACATTTAGTTGTAAAAATGTCTTTTAAATATAAACTCAGATATTCCCTTGCATTGTTATACAGGATAATATGTAGGCGTCATTTGTAGATTATGAATTCTGAACTCAACGACGGTATGAATAGAGGAGTCGCCCTTATACCCAGCCCTGTTTATAATGAATCAAGTGACGAAAATTGAGCATCATTTATCTGTAGGCCTCACATCGACCAGTCAGGACATTACAGCACTATTGACCGATTATATTTCAACTATGTGCTTCACCCGCATCTGAGGTTACACGAAGCGGTAAGCTTCTAGAATGTTGTGCAGAAAGTATCCACGCCTTAGCGTTCCCTCAACGAATGTGAAACACTGCTTAGCTGACGGGCTCGAGGAGAGGATGCTGAAGCAGGGAAGTTGGGAATTGAATCCGTAATGACATCCGAATTCATATTTTCTTCGTGCCCTATTTAACAACACTTTCGACTGCTACGATAATAGCATACGAGCCTCGCATTACAGTAAATTGGTTTTAATTTTGAAATGAAGAAGCAGGCTCAAAAGTGATTGGGTGTTTGAAGGTGCATGAAATTGTGATGTAATACATATAAATATAAGAAGGCTTGAAATAATGATATGTATATATAGAGTATAATGACATAAATTTGAAAACAAAATTTGAGTGATGCCTGCATGACAGAACAAAAAAAACTCCTGGCTTTAGTCCGCAAGCGAACTATACCGACCGGGCGACCGCCGCTTGTCGGCGAAGTTAGTGCAAACTTTAGCGGATAGAGGGTGTCACGTGGTCATCGCACCGAATCCCCACGGCCGTTAATCTCAGTTTTCTAGACCGGAGCCGCTATTTCCATTGAAGTAACTTCTCAGTTATCCTCACGAGAGTGAGCGGACCCCGTTCCAGACTCACTACTTCTCAAAAAATCTGGTAACGCCTGAATTACTGCTGACAAATATACTGTTTTATTGTCTAATAAAATCTCTGTCTTCTCTTAGATGTTAATTCCATTCATGTGTTTACGTTTAAAACAAAAGGTTACAGTTAACTGTAACAAATCCTTCTGCAAAACCACTGTTAGTTGGGGGCAAGTGAAATAAACTGGAGAACGAAAGGGTTTGCTAGAGGTCTCTGATGTCGTTGATTCGCATTGCGACAGTGATTTGTCGCGTTGTCGGATCTTGTTACGTCGGCAGAGCGTTAGGAGACTTGTGGAGGAAGGGGTTTTAACCACCCACTAACCTACCCTCCTTTTTCGGGGTGTATGCTCCGGAGTAGCGTGACAAGTCCATAAACCATGTTTCCGGGTGGCCACACATTGCAGCGGCATTGCATGTAACTCATTTTAAGGCTGTTGTAACTAAGCGTTGTGGCTGATTATCCAATGTTAAGCCTCTGCTTAGGATCCGGCAGCAGATTTCCCATTGAAAAATAGACGCGACGCGTTTTCGTGGCGAAGTAGCAAGAAAATCCTTGTATTTGATATGTTACTTATTGTTATTAGCCCTTTTAGTGAAATGCAAAGATAACAACTCAGACATAACATCAAAATTAATCTCGTATTTTTGAAGTTCCTATTTCTAAGGCGTGCATCAACACGGTATAATTAGATTATGAACAATATGTAACATAGTAAACACCTGACAGAAAGTAAAGAGGATAAGTAAGTAAGAAAGTCAAGTAAAGCTATCCCTGTAACAGGCCGTGGAGGCCCATAGGATTGTGAGATGTTGAGGTTCCCACATTTTCTAGACAATCGGCTCATAGATGGCAGTGAGGTTGTCAGCCTTACGCGTCGGCTGCCCTTTGCCCCCAGGAAGATTCCTGGTACTAATTTCTGTTAGAGACTGAGTCGACCACTGGGCTATAGTGAGGCTGGAAGGATTAGGTAAGTTGAAAAAATCCACCTCATCGGGATTCGATCCCGCGACCTTCCGGCTTGTAGCACAGTGCCTCAACCAACTACGCTACCGCGTGCCTCCAAGAAGGAGGATATAGTGCCAAAATTAATTATGTATGGGTTCATAATTTGTGTCTGTCCCTGGCATAATTCCAAAACGTCTCGATGAAAATAAGACACACCTACAGATATGACAGCATTCGCAGGGCGTTTATATTGCGTTCACCTTGTACTATAAAAATTTGTAAAGCGGTTTTGTTATTGCACATAATATTGTGAACACTTCACAGATAGGTCTACAAATAAAGTATCCTTGTAACAGGCCATGGAGGCCCATAGGGATGTGAGACGTCGAGGCTACCACGTTTTCTAGAAAATCGGATCACAGATGACGGTGAGGTTCTCAGCCTTAGACGCTGGCAGCCCTTTAACTCTAGGAAGATTCCTGGTACTCATTTCTGTTAGGGGCTGAGTCTACCCCAGGACATAGTGCGACTGGAAAGATTAGGTAAATTAAAATATTCAACGACCTCATCGAAAATCGAACCCGTGACCTTCCGGTTTGTTGGCATAGTGTCTTAGCCGACTACGCTATCATGTGCTCACGACAACCACTATATACTCATGTGTGTATATATATGTTTCATGTACCGTAGGATATGTACAGAAGTAAGTACATCTCTCAAACGGAGATTTAATTTTAACCGGAGTGCATTTGTTTAGGTTCTGTTACAAACAGGCTTTACTGTATCATGAATTGATTGAACTCACGTGACCTCCCAGTTTTGTATAATGTATGACGTCAGCAGGTCCTCCCCCTTTTTAAAAATAAATCTCTAGTCCTGCTATTAATATGGATTAATGTTACCGGGAATCGACGTGTAGTGTAATGTTCGGTGTGCTTGTTTAATGGAGGATATTTGATGTACCTCACTTCACATTAATTTGAACCTTCAGCTTTGGTGACTCGTATTGATTAGGGATGTCAATTCGATTATTTTCAATCTCCACTTTCAGAATGAAGTTGCTAATTATGTGAAACCGAAAGTAAAGGGACAAGTCATATTCTCTTGATTTCTTTTACTGGCATAACATGAGTGGATTAAGGTACTCTATTTTGCACACGTATCCTTTGATATTTTGCTTGCCCCGATTGTGCTGCTGTTCATATCTTGCAGATTACGTAAATGACTCCCACACCACATTTTAAACACAACTAATCTTAAGTGACTGAAATGTTTATTTCTTATCATGCATTTACTTACATCTATTTTAGGTCATTATTCCCCGTGTATTTCTAATAACGTCATGAAACAATATTAACAATTACGGCGTATTTTAACCTCTTCAGAGACATACGAAAGTTTATAAGCTACAGGACCTAAATATTGAATTAATTTTGTTACAATCATATTAAAAGCCAATGAACAAAAGTATGTGAGAACATATATCTATTGTGTTATAGACAATTTTTGCGCCACTTTTCGATGCCTACTTCGGGTATAAAACGTCTCACTTACTGCATTTAACCGTGTAATCTTGCTCAGCCCTGATATATCGGTTAACATGGATCGCTTTATGCATTATGCCAAGTTTATTTACGTTATTATTCCTGGTCAGGTCTCTAGAAGTAGGTCACTATGAAGCCTTATGTGTTAGGAGCAAAGAATTGTGAAAGGCGATTGAAAAATTATCTATATTGTATGTACCACAAGTGGCTCGGAATAGATACATCAAGAAAATAATTAAGTATTGAGTGGATGTCCAGCTCTGATAGCCACCCAGACTAATATACAA